ACACACACACACACACACACACACACACACACACTCCGGCACAGAGAGGAGATTGAGAAGCAGAAAGCGAAGGAGCGCTACATGAAGATGCACTTGGCAGGGAAGACGGACCAGGCCAAAGCCGACCTCGCTCGCCTCGCCATTATCAAGAAACAGAGAGAAGAGGCGGCAAGAAAGAAAGAAGAAGAGAAAAAAGGTGAGCAAAACATTTATCGAGATAATTACCAATATTATAGTCTTGACTGTAATACAGAGTCTAAATATAAAGTGTCTTAATCCAGGAAAACACAACACAGTTTATTACCTGATGAGGCCATGGAAGCTCGTTTCTACTGAAGAAACTGCACTATTGTTCACAAAGTAGAGCAGGTCAGGTCAGCATGGACTGTTCACACGTTATCTTGTGGTGTGTGAGAGTTCAATATTCTCTTGTCTCCAAAATGAGGCTGAGAGCAGCACAAGGAGTCAGCTCTACCCGCTGAGCTTCTAAACACCCCTGTTTATATCATTTTGACTCCTTCTGCTGCTCTGCTGTACAAAGGCACTGTCCTTGACGCATTGGTTGCGGGTTCGATTCCAGCTCATGGCAACTTTGCTGCGTGTCTTCCCCTCTCTCTCCCTTTCACACTTGACACCGTCCTGTCATTAAAGGCAAAAAGGCCCAAAAATAATGTTGAAAAAATGATGTAAACATACTTCATGTATGATTTATCATTTTAGATGACTAGAATCTGCACTACACAAATGATCTCATTCTGCTACAAAAGATAGTCCTTTAAATATGTGATGATTCAGCCTGTTAGGATTCTAAATGTGTTTCTGGCCTTTACCTTATTAGTAGAGCATTTTGAGCCTGTCATTTAAGTGAGCAAAATCTGTGAGAAGCCTGCGTCTGTCTACCTTTGTCTGAAATTCAAAGCTCCACTGATTCAAAAATGACTAAAGATTTTGAGTGGTAAATTTATCTCCGTCATCATAGGGATGGCATATGTTTGTAAGCCATCACAAAAGTTGCCTGGTTCCCTTATCGAAAATGTTTGCAAACAAATATTTATGATACAAACACATTTAGTTCAGCAAGATTATCTTCACAAACGAGCACCACTTTTATGATTTTTGAGGCGTAAATGCAATCACCAGAGGTAAAAAGCTAACGATAGGCTCTAAATGAGCCACACCATGGACGCATGACTTACCGTTGCCCTCTCAGCACGGCTGTAAAGCTGTGGTCGCCTTGACGATGCTCTGTAGTCTCATTAGCCACTTGTTAGCAGCCCCCTTTTTTAAGTCACATAAAAGGTTCAGAATTCTCAAGTACATACTGACGTATTATATGGCAGAGAACAAAATGCGAAAACCTCCTAAGCCTGTGTTTATCACAGACCTTTTTTCAAGCATCTGGCCAAAAACCCATTAAAAAAACCCCACTAACTTTGAGACAAGGGAACCAGGAGGGTTACAGTGCAAACTCATTTCCAGGTTTTAGGACTCATTCCTGCACCGCTCTATAGGAAAGGAAACTATCGCCTAGTTTTAGCGGGTTTTCCTGCATTTAAAAAACCTGCATATATGCACTAATTTTACTAAAAAAAAAAGATGTATGAAAATGTGAACAATAAAGCATAAATCTAACCTCCGTCTTGTTTAAGTAAGCAGAGCAGCAAAACAAGGTTACAGTATGTTGGAATGAAATAATGGTCTGATCTCTCTTTCTTATCATACTTAAAACACTGAGAGTAACTCTAGACCACGGTACAAGAAAAGTGCTGTGTCTTTATTTCCTTGTCTTCTGTATGGGCCATTAATTGAAGAGGATGCTGGCTTTTATGTCCGGGACATGCAGCCTCAGCCTCAGTCTTAGTACGATACACTCAAATAGCAGCCACAGTCTGCATACTGCCACTGTTTAAGTGACATGTCCATGAAGTGTTAAGCTGATTGTGTCTCTTTTATTTTCTGCTTACAGCAAAAGACGCAGCGGCAGCAGCAGCAGCGGCGGCGCGAGGAGTAAACTCCCTCTCACTGAAATGATGCAGAGTATTTATCAGAGGCATTTTTACATGTTCACGGACTGGCGCAATATATATTTGACTATTTTTAAAGGAAGAGCTATGGTGTCGACATTACTGTAAACATATGACCATTTGGAAAATGGTTGCGACGACACCAGTGGAGAGGGGGTGTGTATATTTTGGCATGGAATAATGGCCTCGCTGATCCCGCCAGGAAGTAAAGCTACAATTGAGAAAACATCGGTCTTCACGTACACTTGGAATGAACCCCTGCTAACCTATGATCTCATACAAGATATTAATACTGGTATACTTGTCATTGTACAACTATGACTTTGCTAACTGAGCTTTGCCATTATGTTTTCTTGGGGGATCCTAACTTGTATATAACTGACTCATGGAAATATTTCAGATTAATATGATGAAACCAGTAAAATGTGTACATTTCTTTCTTTGCTTTATTTTTTTACCTGTGAGAAAACTGCCACAACCGGTTTAGAGCAGCTGTCACCAGACTCAGGTGCAAGAGTCCACAATGTGAACATCAGATGAGTCAATAGAACAGACGTTTACTTTGGAATAGTAGTAGTGCAGAGGAGGCGTTGCAGCAGCGCCTAGGGATATAAGATGTATACAGAATCTAACTGAACACTTTAGTCAGTTAAGTTAATAAGATAAGAATGAGTGATGACCCCTTGATGGTTTATCTGGCCCTGTTACCAGCAGCAAGTACAGTAAAGAAAAAAACTGGACCACTGGAGTTTAAGATGTTAGCATGAAGATCTTGGATGCATCTCACGGCCGCAGGTACAGGGGCCCAACTAGCCTTCACCTGAAAAATGTCACTCAAATTAACACAAATTTACCAGGAAGAGACTTAAGAAGACCACAAAATGCAAAGGAAATACAAAAAAGACACAAGGTAACTATAAAAATAGGGGCTAAACAACCACATAGAGAAACACAAAACCACAACAAGATGCGTAATGACAACAAAAGAGGCAACACCACCACAAAGTGTGTGTGTCATGACGTGGTGGGGCCTTTTATAATCATATAATATCTGCCCATAATAAAGATAGGGTTGCAAAATATTGGGTTTTTTGCCGACATCTGACATGCCGGTATGTAACAACTCCTTTGGCTGATAACTGATACTGATATTGATATATCCACTTTTTTCCCCAGCAAATTTTAGTGATCAAGTGTCTTCTGTAGTGGAATTAACATCATGCATGCATGGATACTCTTACTGTGACGGCCCACCAGCAGATGGAGACATGATATAGAATTATTTTCCATGTATTTAATATTATTCATTGTACAAATTGAGAAAAAGCATGTTTGCCGATTCTGATGGTTCATTTTAAAGCTGATATCGGTGGATACTGATGATGCACCGATATTATTGTGCATCCCTACCGTAGAATAACATTCAGTATGGTGCTTTCCATCTTTTTCCTGTGCAGGAGTGCCTTCTTTTGGCCAAGCCTAGTGCAGGGGTAGACAACCTGTGGCTCTGGAGCCACATGCAGCTCTTCTTCAGTGGCTCCCCGTGGCTTTGACAAAGAAACCATTTGGAAATAAATAAAGATTTATTTATTTTTTTTACATTTTAATTTACATTTATCATTGTTGTTGACCTAAAGAAATTATGCACCTATGCACTTAAAATAAAAAAAAGACATTTCATCAACCAAAGTGTGCTTCAAGCATCTGCAACCTGGCATCTTTTCCTCCAAATTTTGCCAAACCTCAAGAGCGCTGGCAGGTCTTAAATATCCCTAGCTAAGCTGGCTATGTTTCCAAATCCAAAAAAAGTTAAAGACTCAGAGGAGATGAGAGAATTAAGTAGTGTGTGGACAGCTTCATTTGCGCTCACCTTCAACTCTGCAGAGTTAA